TGGACAGAGAGAAAGAGAGAGAGAGAGAGAGAGAGAGAGAGAGAGAGAGAGAGAGAGAGAGAGAGAGAGAGCAAAGAGCAATAAAAATACCAGATATAGTGGTGAATGCCTGTAGTTGCAGCTACTTGAAGTGGCTGAGGCAGGAACCCCTTTTAGGTCAATAAGTTTAAGATGCAAGATAAGTTTTGCAGTGAAGAAAGATCCCTTATCTCAAAAAGAAACAAAAAAGTTAGGGAAAGATATAGTTACAAATGAGAGCAGGAAGGGGAAGAGCGTGGAAAGAATATGTGAAGTCATATATAACTGGATCAAAGGGATTAACTTGTGAAATAGAAAGACAAGAACATTCTCGCAGGTTTCTGGCTTATGGTCAAGACTTATGAAACTCTGTCCTAGACACCAAGTTCAGGGCTTGACATGTCTTATATGTCTATCATTATTTTTGCAATAATTTTAACTCAGGGCCTCTTGACTGAAAATACAAACTCTATCACAAAGTTCAGGCACATACTCCTTTTATTTTATTCTTCAAGATTTCCTTATAGGTGGCTAGAGAGATGGATTAGTGGTTAAAAGCAGTTATGGCTTTTGAGGGTGGCTGGGTTCTTTCCCAGCATCCACACTGGGTCTTGAAACTGCCTATAATTCCACTTGAAGGAATCCAATACCCTCTTAGGTCTCCAAGGGTTCCTGCACACATGTGGTGCACAGAAACTCTCCCAGGCACAAACACATGCATACACAAAAATAAACTTAAGAGATTTCCTTTCAAAACTGGAAAGATGGCTCAGGAACTCAGAGCTCTGGCTGCATTTCTAGAGGGCCAGGTTCAATTCCCATCACCTACATGTTGACACACAACCATCTGTTACTCCAGTTGCAGGGGATCCAATGAGCCTGTACTAGCACTGTACATACATGGTACACAGATATGTGTGAAGACTATGTATATATCTATACACATAAAATTACTTGCATGGGCTATGTCTCTAATCTCAGCAGTCAGGAGGCAAAAGCAGATGGATCTCTGTGGGTTCCAGGGCAGCCAGGGGTACAGAGTGAGACAGTGTCAAAAAAAAAAAAAGAGAGAGATTTATTTGTATGTAGATATGTATACACGGGAGGACCTGGTGCCAAAGGACGGCATTTGCTTTCCTAGAACTAGAGTTATAGGCAGCAGCTGTAGGCCTCAGTGCTGTGTGGGTTCTGGGAACCAAACCCAGGTCTCTGCATGAGCAGCAAGTGCTTTCAACCCCTAAGTCATGTATGTCTCCAAGGGTGGAATTCTTTTTGTTGTTGTTTGTTTTCCAAAATCCTTTTTTCCCTCCCTTAATTACATTGTTGTTGTTGTTGTTGTTGTTGTTGTTGTTGTTGTGTGTGTGTGTGTGTGTGTGTGTGTGTGTGTGTGTAAGGCACACAGTTATCACTCGAATGAATGAGGTCAGAGGGCGACTTACAGGAATCAGTCAGTTCTCTCCTACCACCATGTGGTTCCCATGACATAGTGGCAGATGCCTTTACCCACTTTGTGGTCTGGTATGTCCTAAGGTGCCAACTCTTGGCTTCCTTTCTTTTCTGTTACTCCCCTCTTCTCTATCTTATTTATCTTAGAATGTAGTCCTGGCTGTCCTGAAACTCCCTGTATAGACTACGCTGGCCTTGAACTCAGAGATCTGAGGACATCTATTGCTCCACTGGAGTGCTGGAATTAAAGATATGCGCCACTGTACCCAATTTATTTTATTTATTGGGACAGGGTATCATTATATAGCTATGGCTGGTCTGAAACTCCCTGTGTAGACCAGTTGGGTCTTGAGCTCAAAGAGATCGGCCTGCCTCTGCCTCTTAAGTGTTAGGATTAAAGTCATAAGCACCACTTAGATCAGAGGTCTTTGAAAGTAGATGCCATAGTGTCATTTTGAGAGTTTCCCCTCATAGCAACTCAGGCTCAGCCTTGTGTATGGTATTACTGGGATGAGCCTTCATGCCCAGTTCTAGGTGGTTTTGTAAAATAATATGTAAATAAAGGTAAAGTAAATTTGACGAAATATTAACACTGAATGAAGATGAAAAGTATTTAGGAATTCATTATTACGATGATTCAGGGTTTAACTTTTCAGTGTTTGAAAAAGTTATATTTTAAGAAGGAAAAGCTGGAAAGAAGCTATGTTAGTATGTTAGAATTCTTTTTCGGGGGGTGGGGTTCGACACAGGGTTTCTCTGGGTAGCTTTGGAGCTTATCCTGGCACTCACTCTGGAGACCAGGCTGGCCTCGAACTCACAGAGATCCATCTGCCTCTGCCTCTCAAGTGCGGGGATTAAAGGTGTGTGCCACCAACGCCCGGAGCTATGTTAGAATTCTAGATACTTGAACTAAAACTTGCTGTGAAAACAGAAAAACAAATTCAAGATATATTTTGGAAGTAGAAACCACATGACTTGCTCACAGACTGCTAAATCAGAGCCTGAGAACCACCAGCATAAACAGACCAAAAGAAAAAGGAAAAAAAAAAAAAAAACACCGGAAGCCAAGGCTAGCTCCACCCTTCCCTTCCTGAGAGGGAAGTGAGGAAAGAACGCGACCATCTGGACTCACACGCGCTTCCGGTCTAGTGTCGCGAAGAGACTGAAATTCCTAGGACCTCCTTTGGTTCCTCCCACAATGGGCGGCCCCCAGCGAACATCTGACCAATAGTGAACGAGACGGCGTGCGCTAGCCCAATGGTCCTGCAGTGGGTGGAGCCTGTGACAGGGGTTTGAGCCCTGGAGTTGGAGTTACGGCCCACGTGGGGAGCTACGCGGTAGATCCGGCTTGAATCCCTAGTGCGGGAGAGGGACCTGCAGTGGAGATGGGGCCGGCCCCCGCCGGAGAGCAGCTACGCGGAGCAGCTGGGGAGACAGAGGTTGGTTGATCTCAGTAGGTGGAAGAGAGTCTCAAAATGTGCTGTCCTGGCTACAGAGCCTGAGATAGTCAGGCCTGACAGCTGGCTTGTGAGGGACTTCACTGGAGGAACCGTGTTTCCACTATTTTTCCAACCTACATCATTGGGAAATATTTTTAGGGAAGCTTGGCCTAACAAGATCTGAATAGATCAGGAGTGGAGGTGATATTTAAAAAGCCCCAAGCCTGTGTCAGCAAAAGATTTGTGGTATCTGGAAACAGGAAGGCTTTGGGGCACTGCTTAAGGCGGTGAGCCAGGTCCAAGCAGGACTGCAGGCTCCTGCTGTCAGAGTCATCCCGATGTTGGACATCCTGAGTTTTATTAAATCTGACGCCCACTGTGAAAAGTTTCTGCACCCTGATAAGCCTCTCTGCCGATGCAGCAATGCAAATTAGGCCAAATCAAACCAAATTATAAGAAGCCAATGTTTAATGGATACAGCGTTCCCAGATGGCCTGCCTGGGCCAAGGCAAGCCCACAAAGGATCCTCCAGATAACGCCAGTACCTGCATTAGCTCCTGGGACATCCATGCTGGTACCACCTTTCCAGGCTCAAGTCGGCACCTCTTAAGGATACTTGTTGCAGCTGGGACCCTTGACCCTCCACTGTCTGGTTTTCCAAGATGTCACAATGAAAGTCCTCTCTGTTCTCCTTCCTGGCACATTCATTGCAATTAGGACAGATGTTAATGATCTATTTGTCTCCTAGCAACCTGCTTTCTCCACCCACACCTCCTGCAGAGTGGGAACCCACCAATTTCTGACTTTGTCCCTCCCCCACATCATCCCTTGTTAGCAGGAAGAAGACAGACATGAATCGGTGTCCATATACCTAAAGAGTCTGGGATGTTAGGATGGAAGCTTAACCCCAGCCCCTGGCATCCATATACCCAAAGAGTCTGGGATGTTATGATGGAAGTTCTACCCAAGCCCCCTTCCCCTATCCCTCCAAACTCTGTTGCATCTCAGAAAGCCCACCAAATGATGACCCCTCCCCCAGAGATGCTCAAGACCACTCTTACAGAGTATTTAAACTGCCCCCCCAAAAATAGATGTGTGGTTTTCCAGTCTCTCTTTCCCATCTCCTCTCTGGGGAGCTGGAAGGCCATCCAGGAGTGCTGTATCCATTAAGTGTGGGCCTTTTCCAATTTGGTTTGATTTGGGCTGATTTGGATTGTTGTATCAGTGGAAACTTATGGGGTACAGAAACTTTTCAAACTGGAAGGGAGAAGCCAGAGTAGATGAAGCCTTTACCCACAATCTTTAGGCAACTGATGTAGATACCCACGGTTTCATGTTGACTTTTCCCTCTCTGGCCATAGGAACTTGCCCTAGAAGGTGTCAGCAAGAAGGCAACTTCAAGAAAGCGTGCAAAAGCTGAGCCACCTGCAGAAGGCCTCCTGCAGCCAGTGAAGCTCAGTCGAGAGGAGCTGTACAAGGAGCCTACAAATGAGGAGCTGAATCGCCTGCGTGAGACTGAGATCTTGTTCCACTCCAGTTTGCTTCGTTTACAGGTACTTGGGTGACCTGGGCATAAGTTAGAGGGGTTTCTTTGGGGTTCTGAGGCTGACAGTCTCCCCTTTCCCTCTCTTACAGGTAGAGGAGTTACTGAAGGAAGTGAGACTCTCAGAGAGGAAGAAAGAGAGGATCGACACTTTCCTGAAGGAGGTCAATCCGCGGATCCAGAGAGTGCCCTCTGTCCCTGAGACTGAGGTGAGACTGTGGCCAGGGAACAGCGAGGCATCTGACACATTTTGCTGTTCTCCCAAGAGAGTGGAATGCTGGGGAAGTCATTCTCACTGCAAGAAAACTGAACTAGGTCACCAGTCATCCGTGTACTAATCACTCAACAACCATTTGTATGTCTTGCACAAATTTTATAGGAGTTTGTTTGAACAGGGTCTTATGTAGCCCTGATTGGCCTTGAACTCCTAACAGTCCTGCCACAGCTCCCAAGGACTGAGATTGAGGGCCTGAGCCACATTTTGGTTTTTGGTTTTTTTTTTTTTTGTTTTTTTGTTTTGTTTTTTTTTTTTTTTTTTTTTTGAGATGGGGTTTCTCTATGTAGCTTTGGAGCCTGCCTTGGCACTTGCTCTGTACATCAGGCTGGCCTCAAACTCATAGAGATCCACCTGCCTCTGCCTCCCGAGTGCTGGAATTAAAGGCTTGTGCCCCCACCGCCTGGCCCCACCCTTTGTGTTTTTAAAACAGGGTTTTAACTCTGTAACTCATGTAGTCCTCAGACTGGTGGCAGTCCTCCTACGTCAGCCTCCTGAGTCCTGGGATTGTAGTTGTGAACTTTAACTTCCAACCAAATATGGACATTTTATTTATTTATTTATTTATTGGTTTTTCAAGACAGGGTTTCTCTGTATTGTTTTGTAGCCTGTCCTGGAACTCAATCAGTAGACCAGGCTGGCCTCAAACTCACAGAGATCAGCCTGCCTCTGCCTCCCGAGTGCTGGGATTAAAGGCGTGTGCCACCAATGCCTGGTTTGACTTTTTATTTTATGTATTTATTTATTGGGACAGGCTGTGATATAGTCCAGGCTGGCTTTGAACTTGATTACTGTATAGTCAAGAGTGATCTTGAACTTGTGGTCTTCCTGCCTTCCCAAATGCTGGGATTACAGGTGTGTGTCACCATTCCTAACCTGAAAGTATTAGAAGTCAGTCATGGTGGTTTTAATGTTTTTGTCAGTCAAGTTGTCTTCATGGAGAAGGTGTTTATGGAAGATTGAGAGTTTAGTTTTTAACATATTGGTGTGTTGTCTATAGACTTCGGGGGTTTGTGAGGAAGGCAGCAGAATCCATGTGTTTCCTCTTTGTTCTTACAGCTCACTGACCAGTCATGGCTCCCAGCTGGGGTTCGAGTGCCCCTCCACCAAGTTCCCTACACTGTGAAGGGTTCCTTCCGATTCCTGCCTCCATCCCAGATCACTGTCGTAGGCAGCTACCTTCTGGGGACTTGTATCCGACCAGATATCAATGTGGATGTGGCTCTGACCATGCCCAGAGTAAGGCCGGTGGTTTGGGGGGTATAAAGGCCCACTACTCTGAGGGCAGCCCTACATGGACTCTAGGGCCAGTTACTGTCCTTTTGGGATTTTGCGCTCTGTCTGGAAATTGGTTTAGGCACTCCTGAGTCAGTGAAGAAGCCCTGGGACTTCAACCTAGCTCTTATGTGTCTTACCTCCCTCTTCATCCTTGACTCCTCCAGGAAATCTTACAGGACAAAGATGGGCTGAACCAGCGATACTTCCGCAAGCGAGCCCTTTACCTAGCTCACTTAGCTTACCACCTGGCCCAAGATCCCTTCTTTGGCAGTGTTCGCTTCTCTTACACCAATGGCTGCCACCTGAAGCCCTCGCTGCTGCTGCGGCCACACGGTGGGAGTCACACACTGGGTTTAGTGCACAGTATGGGATGGCAAATCTGGAGGGGGAGTACAAGGTCCAAAATAGAAGCCTCAAGGCCAAGGCTAGAGGCATTGGTCTCAAATTCTGAGGTGGGAAGTCATGGGTCCCCAAGTATGAGGGGGTGGCAAGTGGATCCCTCTGGTTCCAGGAGTTGTAGAATGTCAGTATTCTTTGTCTCTACCCAGGGAAGGATGAGCGCCTGGTTACTGTACGTCTGCATCCATGCCCTCCTGTAGACTTCTTCCGCCCTTGCCGCTTGCTGCCAACCAAGAACAATGTGCGATCCGCCTGGTACCGCGGGCAGAGTGCTCCAGAGAGTGGTGAGTGGACACTGGTGTTGAGATATGTTGGTGGACAGGGGCGGGGTGGAGGCTTCATTCCTCACCGCCTCTATTTTTTTTTTTCCACGACAGCAAGCCCAGAGCCCCCTACACCCCACTATAACACATGGATCCTGCAGGATACAGTGCTTGAATCTCAAATGCACCTGCTGTCAACTGTGTTGGGCTCTGCCCAGGGACTGAAGGATGGTATAGCACTTCTGAAGGTTTGGCTGAGGCAGCGGGAGCTGGATAAGGTGAGTTGGGGGGTGCCCCAGTCTCCTCACCCCATTGTGATGGGGTGCTTCTGAACTCAGTCTGTCATGTCTCTTTCAGGGCCTGGGTGGATTTAATGGGTTCCTTATCTCCATGCTGGTTGCCTTCCTCGTGTCTAAACGCAAGATCCATACTACCATGAGCGGCTACCAGGTCCTGAGAAGTGTCTTGCAGTTTCTGGGTAAGGCAGCTAGACTGGAAAGGCCAGGGGTTCCACTTATGTCAGGGATCCTCTCATTCAGTTAGAGCTCCTTTAATTCCTTGTCACCAGACAGATGGGAAAACTGAGACATGCCGGTGTAGTCACTAAGTCTGAGGGAGGGAGGTTGTCATTGTGGCTGGGTCCCACGAGGAACCTTAAAACACACCTACCTTCTCTGGTTCACTCCAGCCACTACAGATCTGACGGTCAATGGAATCAGCTTATCTCTCAGTTCAGATCCCTCCTTGGTGAGTTAGGGAAGGGCAGGGCAGGTCTGTGCCAAGAGGCCTGAAGGTAAAGTTCAGCGCTGAGTGACTTCTTTCTGCCTCCCAGCCAGTGCTGGCTGACTTCCACCAGGTTTTCCCAGTTGTGTTCCTGGACTCTACAGGCCGCCTCAACCTCTGTGCCGATGTCACAGCTTCCACTTACAACCAGGTACCAATGGGCTCTGTTCCTGCATCCTTCAGAGGTCCCAGCTCAGACAATGTTACTTTGTTGGTATCAGAGCCTCACACACTCCTCTCCAAAGAAGTAAGGTCAGATGTGACCCTTTCAACCAGTGAGGGTTGCAGCTGTGGTCCCTCCTTTACCCTGTGGCCCAGGTGCAGCACGAGGCACAACTGTCCATGGCCTTGCTGGACAGCAAAGCTGATGATGGATTCCAGCTGCTGTTGATGACACCCAAGCCCATGATACGGGCTTTCGACCACATTGTCCAGTGAGTCTGGTGCTAATAGAGGGTATGGGTCATTAGGGAGGAGGAGTCAAGGACCTAGTGGGTCCTGATTGGTCCTCTTTGTTCTGTGCCCTCCAGTCTCCGTCCACTGAGTCGGCTGCAGGCAGCATGTCACCGGCT